TCTTTTTGAACTAATTTATCACTGAGGTTATTAATCTCCGGAAAACAGGCTTTGCACTCCATTCAAAAGAAAAGGAGAGATTTGTTCTGCAATAAAAGCGCATCCGTTTCAGTGGTGGACAGGTTTCCACAGTCATTGCATATAAAGCGTTTGCATCCATCACAGTTACATCCAAAGAGTTCACCCTCCTTGGAGTTAGGACGTCTTTTAAAAATGCAGCTGGTAAGACAAACCGCACAATTGAAAGCCATGTTTGCCGCAAAAGTTGGATTAAATTATATTAAACCAAATTTCAAAATTTAAAAAAAAAAACAAAAAAAAAAAAAAAAAAAAAAAAAAAAAAAAAAAAAAAAAAAATTTAAAAATTTAAAAAATTTAAAACAGTTGCCTAATTCTTGTAGGTATCACCAGGTTCATTGACCCCCATGACATGCTTTAACATTAAATATGGTCCTGTCTAATATTTCCAAAATAAACAATATAAACAATAATACTCAAGGGGATTCCACATAAACACAATAAAACGTTCAGGAATTCCGCTGGTCACCAAAAAAGTAGTAAACAAACTCTTTAGCTGATAAGAATCCTTTGTGCTACAAGTAAACGATTAAACGATTTTCAGACAAAGTCTACACTAAATTTAAAACAAGTATTAGAGAGATATCGGTAACCCAAAAAGTGTCATGCAGTATTAGCGCTTACGTTATTTTGACATTAAACCTATGCGCGATTCGATTTTTAACACTACGTACTAAAATAACGTTACCGCATAACGTAATTTACCCAGCATTTACGTTAAGCCCTATTTCGAATAACGTCTAAAAATAACGCCGTGGAATAATAGGTTATGTTATGTTTATTATTTATTTTATTATTTTTGTTGTGTTCAAGTGAATATGGAGTGTTCAATAAATAGTAAAAAAAGCAAATCCTCTGTCCCTGACCATGAACAACAGACAACACAAATCAAATCACAACAAGGTACAAGTTAGGCTACGGTTATAAAATAACGGATGCGAACAGGCAAATTTTACGTTAAACTGTTTTCCGATAACTCTAATTTGAAAGTATGATACCGCTTTACTTTAAAAAAATAACTCTTGACGTTATTACCGTCCATACGCGCTATCTGTTTTACCGATATCTCTCTATTAATATTAACACTTTCACGCTTTTATTTTAACGTTTATGGCGTTTATTTTACCGCCACTGTATCATATACATTTTTACGAATACAGCAATACCAAAGAAGGATTAAATTGATCCAAATATACTTGAAAAACTTTGATAATAACGGAGCGAAATAAAAGTACGTATTTACACGCCGACGACCGTACTGTCAAATGTATGTAATAATTTCGAAAAATCGAATGTCTGTAAATCTAAATTTCAGGATTCGTCGATACCATGAAAAAAAACTTTAAAAAATCCTTATTCTTCCAGAACAAACCACATCCCGTTATCTTTTCTCGTTATCGAGATATTCACCTTTAAAATGTGTCAGTTTATCTAAGGACACCCTGTATTACAGGCGTGAGGTGATCGTTTTGCACGCTGGGCATCTCCTTGTCCTTGTTCATTGCCCGTGGTCTGACAAGAATAAACGTATGGTTGATAGTTAACTTGACAAGTGTCATTCAAAAGTTGTTTGAAGTTTTCATTGACAAATACGTTGCACAACACGCGGTCTTCTTCTTGCCCTTTTTATCTTGTGCAAATAAGAAGGACAGATTGCTATACGTAAGTCTAACATAATTTGGTACGTTTTGCCTCATCTTGCGCAATGAGCATTCTGTGTCTTTTTTTATCTAATGAAGTTTTCGTATTATTACCTCTTTGTCTGGTAAAATAGATAGGTCTATAAAGCTTTTTCTGATTCTGATTCAGATAATCCAGATAAATATGCAACCCATAAAAACGTAGAAACATAAATACAGTATGCAGATAGAAATATATTAACGAGTAATTTCCCTGTACCCATCAGGTTAGTCAGTTTATGTTGCTTTGGCAATTCTGGGATTCCCCGTAATTATTTAGGCCTGAGGCTTGAATAATACAGCGTCACGCGATTAATACGAACTTCAACAGTGGTAGTACTCAACTTGGGCTAATCCAGAGATTGGAAAATAGATAGTCAGATAATCGCGAGGGGTAAACCACTAGTGGAAATCTTTGTACATTTTTTTGGGAATCACATAGTAATCAATCAGGAATACATGGAAATCACTTGGGAGTCCCTGGGAATAACCGGGGAATCGCTAGGAATCTCCTAGGACTCCATGGAGATCACATAGGAATCCATTGGCAATCGCCGAGAATTATGTGGTAATTGCTGAAAGTATCATCTCATTCTTACCCAGAAATCACAAATCATTCATTTTGAACGATACAGCGTACCAATTAGTTGTGTATTTGCTTTAAGACTAAGTTTAAGGCAACACTGAGTGCTAGACAATTTGAAATGAATTTGATATCCCAACGAGTTTCCCAATAACTAAACCAAAGACTATGAAGAGTTTAAGAACGTGATGACGATAAGGTCTCTCGTTAGGTCTGTTCTCACAATATCACAAACCAATTGGAGCATTTTTGATTGGTGAAAATCGCCAATAACCAGTTTTCTGACTATTTTCAACCAATGAAATTCGCTCGTTTGTGATTACAGTGAGAGTATGACAATGTTGTAGATCATAAAAATGAAAACATGAGTCTTGAAACCTCTCTCGAACCAGACTTGCCAAAGGAAGACACAGAATTTCTTCACACATCAGGGTTTAGCAAATCCGATTCGCTACAATTACAATTAGGAGATTATTCAGGGCTCAACTTTAATTTGGTTCTTTCCAGAGAAGCAGGGACGTTTGTTGATCGAGTATTAAGAGATATGGGAATTTCCCTGAGAAAGACAGAAGAAAAAGTCAGGAATCCATGCCAATAAGAGCTTGGAAAGGGAAAGTTGAATAAATACTAGGCAGGGCGAGAAGCAGAGAAGACAGCGCATCTGAATCAGAAATAAGTTTGTCGAGTGAAACCCTAACTGAAGATGTCAGATGAACATCCTAGTGAAATCAAAGAAATATCCATTATTTTAGATCCATATCATGCAGTGTAGGCACACAATGGTATCGGGTCTTCAAAAAAAACCAATCAAAGATTGCTATGGTTTTTTAAACGTATGTCTTAGCAATATTTGTCTTTAATTTTGTCAATGAAATTTAATGTCAAAATGTCACGTCAAAAATCCCGACGAATAAAGAAACAGTAATGCGACGTATGTTTTCGTAATCAAAGCAATCTTCGATTGGTTTTTTTTTGAAGACCCGATATCTACAATTATTTATACCTGCAAGAAAATCGGTGTGGGTGTGGACAACCATGAAAATAAAAGTTGCTAACTTTTGCAAATACAGAAGTTGCCAATGCTTATTTTGGTTACATCAATGCGAAGCTTAACAATTAGACATCATTTTCATAATAAAATCAGCTGGAAATCGGATGATTGTAGAAAATCATCAGGAAATAAGGTAATCAATTGAGAATGATATAGGAATCTCTAGAAAAAATGGAAATCACCTGATAATCATATAAAAAGATCTGGAAATCATTGGCAATCAGTTGCAATTCTTTGGATGTGAATACATAAGATTCACTTATCAGTGATTGCCAAATATGGAAATCATTGTACATTTGTGAGCATAGTGGTTGACCCCTCGGATAATCGAGAGTCTACTGTATTTCTATTTTAAATATTTTTAAACCATATACCATATCCAAATATTGTTATAATGTCAGGGCTTGAGCCTTGAGCTATATAAGCATATTCTACAAATAACTAAGAGGCCAAACCTATTAATTTATCCTTCTGAAACCGTTTCAAGTGTTTCATAAGCTTCTCTATGGTTGGTCAATGTTGAGTTCAATAATTGAGATTATTATGCAAATGAAAAATGAGAAAATTTAACTTTTCCTATGGCTTGTCCTTTCACTGTGTGTTTATTTCCTTAAAATCCTTCAAAATCTTATGTTTTATTTCTCGACAAAGATAAATACTTATCAAATAAACCATATTTAAAGCACAAGCAATAGAATAAATAATACAAAACTGAAAGGAAAGTTTCCCTTCATCAGAAAATTTTTATAAGAAAAAATTCTGAAATGGAAAGAAGAATTTTTAATACCCATCGTTCAAACAACTGAAACAAAACCTGATCCCTCAAATTCCTAAATTATTTTTTGCCTTCCAAGCTTGGATTTATTTTTAAATTTTGGACCAGAGTATTTTCCCAAATTTCCAGTGTGGATTTGACACCACCAAGTAGAAAGTGGTTTAGTCTATAATTAGACTACTACTTTATTTAACCTATTTGCTTAATTTGGAAAAATTTAATTCTAGGCTGTGTTACTAACTTGTCCTTATTCACAAGTAGGTGTTAAATAAATAAATAAATAAATATTAGTTGGAAGTCCCATTTTTTTTCTAAATAACAATAAAATGCATTTTTCAAATTTAAAATACCATTTGCAAATTAAAATCTATTAGAGCTCAAACGGGGAAAGTTTTTATTTTAAAAAAATAACGAAGTCTTTGCTTTCATATCCTTGTTTGGCAATAGTTGTCTTCGATTGCAATAAGTTCAATATTTATTGATGGATTTTGATGAAATTTTTAGGGGGCACTCGAGGGTGTTGGGGCAATATTATATGAGAAGTTTTATGATTTTTTTCTAGTTTGAACTTGTGAAAACTATCACAATATGTTGACGTGGCGAGGGCACCTTTGTAGGAAACCTGATATTGGTTTTATAATGAATTTTCGATAATATGATTAGTAAATTTTATTGGTAAAGTTTTGGTGTGTACTAATACATAGAAGTTACAATGAAAATTAAAATATAATGGGTTATTAAGTCATCTTGAATATGGCGACTATTATCTGTTGAAAGGCAACAGATTGCATTGGAGACGGATAAGGTGGAAATTTGAAGCCATAAGGTACTCACCTGATTTTTGATATAATCTTCGATTGCACGTAATGCTGAATCCGTTAATTTCACAAATATCAAGTCTTTATTTTCACTAAAATTTTGCTGCGAAGACAACCCATACTGAACACCTGGACATAGCGCCGCCATTTCTGTCCAGTAAAGTCAAGACGGCCGCGACACACAGCTGACGTTTCGAGGTCAAGCTGGCGACTGCGTTCACGAACGTTTGCCGTCAGTGGGCTACCGTTCGGATATTTCTAACCCTACCATTTTATTTACCTGAATATAAATTAAATTAGTATATAATGTATTTGTCACAAAGATTATGTATTAAGGTGAAATAATAATTAAAAAGCGATTTGAATGTAGTTTTTGTTGTACTATTTGGGTATTTAAAAGGCAATATTTTCATATTTTTAAATGTGAAACGATGCTGCCTACAGGCAACCAACAGTGCGCACAATTTAAAAATTCAATTATCCATTGAAGGAGATTTAAATTTGAGAAAAAAACATACTTACTACAGGGCTGTTCGAAATTATAAGAAAATTACCAATAATCAAGCTTAAAAACACTGATTTTTGGGAAAAATTGAAAAGTAACTTTGTAGTTTCCGTCGCCTATGCAACCAGCTGAACACTATGGAATAACCTAATTTTTTTCCTTGTTTATGCAAATGTATTGGAAAGAGACAGAAAATTAAAATTGTCAGCTGTATACCAGAAAAAACACAGTCAAGGTAATTGGCAAAAGAGGTTAGCCAATGCGCAAAGGTGTCGTCACAGGAGGGCTATTAGTTGCGCTCGTTCTTGTGAGAATTGCTCAATTTTATTAAATCAAACATTTCCTTTACAAACCTTTAATTTAAAATTTAATAGTACATCATATATTAGCAACTTAGGCCGATGTACGATGGCTCAGAAGGGACATGACTATGTTTTATTGTATTAAATCTCGCACTGCCAGATTCAAATACACACTGCTAGATTTAATCTCGCACTGCTAGATTTAAAGACGCACTGCGAGATTTATTCTCGCACTGCTAGATTTAAAGACGCACTGCGAGATTTATTCTCGCACTGCTAGATTTAAAGACGCACTGACAGATTTATTTTTGCACTGTCAGATTTTAAGATGCACTGCCAGATTTAAATCAATTACCGCTACAAGATAAGCGTTATTGCAACTCAGAGTGGTAGTATTTGCCGTGGTTTTTGGGTTCATCCATTCCAGTTATATTGACATTAGCGCCAGACACTTGAAACGTGTTTTGAAGGACTTAAAATTGTACAGAAGAAAACTTTTATACTATATTACTCCAGTCCAACTGAAATATTGGACTTTATCGGGAACCAGTTAGAGACAAGCTTTCAATTACATGGATATAAATGGATGTATCTAAAATGTCTGCAAGCTGGTTTAGTAGTTCGTCGAAATACAGTAAGACTCCTACTGAAAGAATTAGATCCAGAAGGAGTGTCTTTGCGCAGAAGACGACGACTGCGAAGAATGCAATATTTCAGTAAGGGGCCAAACTTCTTGTGGCATATAGATAGTTACGATAAATTAAAACCTTACGGTATTGCCATAAGTGGTTGTATTTGATGGATACTCACGTCACATTAGGTCTGTTTCTGCAGGAATCCCAAACCAGTCAGAGTGAATTTCATTGGTTGAAACTAGTTTTCTGACTGTTTTCAACCAATGAAATTCGCTCTGACTGGTTTGTGATCTCTGCAGAAACAGACCTATTATATGGTTAAAAGCTAGTTATACAAATAATAATCCACGGGTTATATCTGGTTTCTTTCTAACATCTGTAGAAACATGCGGAGGATGTCCAAGAACCATACGTTCAGATATTTCGCTGACGCGTCTTTAAATCTGGCATTGCATCTTTGAATCTAGCAGTGCGAGAATAAATCTCGCAGTGCGTCTTTAAATCTAGCAGTGCGAGAATAAATCTAGCAGTGCGAGAATAGATCTCGCAGTGCGTCTTTAAATCTCGCAGTGCGTCTTTAAATCTAGCAGTGCGAGAATAAATCTAGCAGTGCGAGAATAAATCTCGCACTGCGTCTTTAAATCTGGCAGTGCGAGATTAAATCTCGCAGTGCGTCTTTAAATCTAGCAGTACGAGAATAAATCTCGCAGTGCGTCTTTAAATCTAGCAGTGCGAGATTAAATCTAGCAGTGCGTATTTGAATCTGGCAGTGCGAGATTTAATACAATAAAACATAGTCATGTCCCTTCTGAGCCATATCGTACCGATGGCCTCATAGTGGATCTTCTAATCTCGGAGCGAGATTATACGAGAAGGATACTCAGTGGCGTATTTACCATAAGGCCATGGGGGCCATGGCCCGGGGCGCATGGAGGTAAGTAACACCCATTTGGCTCACGTTCGCAAATTTGAATGTAACACCCGATATCGCAACGGAGAGTTTCTTTATCGGGTGTTTCTAACCCTGGACAGATTTGCATTCACATAATGTTTAACAGTACCTAATTCCTTTATTAGATAGGTACATAGTATAGATATAATATTATTAGTTTTTTATGTTTCAAACTTTCTGTATTTTATTAATTTGCTCGTTAATTCTTGTTTATAGGCCCTACTTTTTGTATTTCCTTTTGGTATCATGTACACATGTAGACCCAAATAAGAGAAAGAAGATTAAAAAAGTTCAGTACAATGTAATTCGAAAGTATCTGTTCCTTTTTGACCTGGTATGAATGTCACCAAGCCTCACCGGAGAGATATTCTGAGTTCTAAATAATATTTTGTATCAAAACAGCAAAATGTAAAAATCTGTTCTTTTATCTTGAGCATTTCACTCTTAGTAATGTAAGGAGTAACATGTTCTCGTCTATTTATGTTCAATCTGTGGTTCACTATACCTATACCTATCGTACACAATTGTTCTGAATCTTTTGTAGTCTATATCTACACACAATAGGAAATTGGTCAGCAACAAAAAAATTACAGCTCAAAAACAAAATTCCGGTTTTTTGAACTCACCCTATATATTAATAAATTCCTTGTTATTTCACAAAAAAAAAAAACAAATAAAAAAAGGTCATATACAGTGTGTTATTTAAAAATGTGAAACGTGGCCTTCTTTTTGGATTTTTCGATGTTCCACAACTATACAAATAGTGAAAAAGACGTTCTCCTAAATTAAAATTTGTGTCCGAGGTTTTTCTAGAAATCTCTTTTATTGTTTTTATATGCTAAATTACGAACGCACAGTATAATTTAGAATAATATAACAATAATAATTATATTTTGCACTTATATACTCATGTTTTAAAATTTCAATGCTCTAAAATAATTTCATATTTACAAGATGGTGATAGTAAATAGGCTTATCTAATACCGAGGGTAAGTAACACCCGATAAAGCGCACATCCATGCAACCACGGGTGTCACATTTAAAAAACCGAACCGTTGTCGAACGGAGTGCCGAATGCTAAACAGGGTGTTACTTACCTCCATGCGCCCGGGGCGGTAGGACTGCAAGGGGCGGCACAAGCCGCGTCCCTAGTGCTTAGGAATGCTATCAAATTACCAACAAAACAAAAATAAAACTTATTATTTAATTGATAACATTACAAGAAATGGGGAATTCGGCGACCGTCCGATCACCCGATGAAAGAATAAATAATTATCTTCGTTCCAGTATAGTATAAGCGAAGACCGGACAGGACAGTTCAGCCATTCTTGATATAGAGGCCACCAGACAAAATCTGTTAATTATAATGACAACATTATAATTAACAGATTTTGTCTAGTGGTCTGTTCTCAGCACATCACTCATACATGTTTTCAATGGGTACATTCAGGCGGTCCCAGCGGCTTAGCTCATCAGCCTCTCAGCAGGAACTTTATTCTCGAAACCAAGGAACAGCGTCCTCATAAGAGCGATTACTCTGTCATTGTCAGTGTTATGCCGGACGACAAAGACAGAATCTTCGTTCCAAAAAATACGCCACTGAGGATACTTAAATTAAATTTGGTTCTAATAATGTATTCAACTCAAAACTCTTTGCTGTATGTATGTAGGAACCAAGCTGTGTCAGATCTCATCAGTGTGGCTAGGAAAGCAAAGAAAACGAGCTCAAGTTTAGTGACTAGGACTAGGAAATTTAAATTTATCAAGATACCTATTATGCATATGCAATACTATATAATGTGGAGAATGAGATCAGTAGTTGAAAATTGAGAGTGACTGAATTCGCTAACTGGTGTGCATCAATTCACCTAGATTTAACGAATTCCTTCAGATGCCTCCTGAAGTTGAAAGCATTCGGAGCCGCCCTAATAATCTTTGGAATCATGTTAAAAACTTTGGCTGCACTGTAACTGAAGGATCTTTCAAATAGTGCAGTTTTATGTTTAGGTACACTCAATAAGGCTACCATGACGAGTGCAGCACTCATCGAACGAGCCAGACCTGATTAAATTTGTCTGCTATAAGTACCTAGGCGTGTTAGTTTTACTGACCTTTTGAACTAGACAGCCAAGCTGATGGACTCCGAATCTCTGCTGGGAATAAGATATCCAGATTGTATACATTTTGGAAATTATGGGTGGTATGGATAAAAACGAAGTACCTACTTGCTACTACTACAAGTAGAAGTATATTCTACGAAGTATTTACTTCACAAATAAAGGATTTACTCATTTACGGTAGTTTCGAAATGTAGTATCTACTTCATTTTGAAGTAAATACTACGGAGAATATACTAACTTGAAGTAGTAGCAGATACCTACTTCGTTTTTATTCATACCACATAATGTCGTATTTACGAATACCAAAATTGAACCGAATACATGAATTTTGAACATTTTGCAGACTGTCTCTATCTTTTTGAAGCAGAGCTGGCCAGAAAACAACACTGCAGTACGCAAGCTGTGACAAAACTAAACTGCCGCACAGAGTCTAAGTTTGCGTCTATGCTCAAAGGTTTCCTGTGAATATAAAGAGTTTTTAAACCGGCATAAGACTTTCGATAAAGGACAGGTTTGTGAATATCTATCTGACATGTTTGTGAATATCTATATCTGACATCCGAATCCATCCACAGTCCCAGATTCCTACAATAGTTAGAAACATTTAGAGTGGTATTATTGAGACAAATCTCAAAGTCAATGTGCACTCTATGGCTCCCATAAACCAAAATTTCTATCTTCAGGCTATTCCATTTTTAAGCCCTGGGTGCTAGAGAGTTCATAAATAGTTTATAGGTCGCTATTAATGTTTTCGATGGCCAAGCGGACGGTACCTTACCGATGGGAAAAGAGTAGTACCTATAGTTGCTGATCTTCAGCAAACTGGTGCGAATCACAGAATTTCAAAAAAGTTGAAAAATCAGCTGTGTAGATGGGAAATATCAGAAGGGCCTAAAGATACTCCCTTGGGGAACACCTTTATCCAAAGCAATAAAATTAGAATAACTACCATTGAAAGAAACCCTCTGCCTTCTAAACAAAAGATACGATCTAGAAAGATTGATGTTGTTCCGATCAAATCCAAAATATTTTAGTTTTAAGTAAAGAATTGAATGAACTATGGTATCAAATGAACAAGAAACCAAACAGTGGTCAGATATG